GAGAGAAAATCTATTTCAGTTCATGGCCCCCATGGCAGATTTTCTGAGACATATTCACTATCCTTGAATACTCATGCAAAATCATGCATTTTTTTTTGTCAAGCCACGCTGAGTTCCGGGATCTGGGAGAATTTCCTTCTCACACAAACACAATGCCTGAAACAAGTTCTCTTTCAGTTCATGGCCTAACTGGCAGAATTTCTGAGACCTTTTAACCATCCTTGAATCCTCAATCAAAATCATGAGTTTTTTTTTTTGTAAAGCCACTTTGAATTCCAAGGCAAGAGAAGATTTTCCTTCTCATTCAAGCTAAATGGCCGAAAGAAAATCTGTTTCAGCTCAAGGCCCAAGTGAAGGAATTTCTGAGACATATTCACCATTCTTGAATCCTCGTGCAAAACTTTGAGTTTTTTTTGTCAAGCCACATTGAATTCCGAGGCACGGGATGATTTTCTGTCTCATGCAAGCGAAATGGCTGAAAGAAAATCGATTTCAGTTCATGGCCCAAATGGCGGAATCTCTAAGACCTTCTCCCCATTCTTGACTCCTCAATCAAAATCGTGAGTTTTTTTTCTTCTTTTTTCATCAAGCCACGCTGAATTTTGAGGTGACGCGATATTTTTCTTCTCATGCATGCAAAATGGCTGAGCGACAATCTATTTCACTTCTTGGTCCAAATTACGGAATTTCTCAAACCTATTCACCGCCATTCTTGAATCCTCATGCAAAATTGTGAGTTTTTCTTTTTTGTGAAGCCACGCTGAATTCCAATATCTAGGGGGAATTTCCTTCTCAAGCTGGGCTGAAACAAAATCTCTTTTTCTGTTCATGGCCCAAATGGCGGAATTTCTTAGACCTATTTACCATTCTTGAGTCATCATGCAAAATCGTGAATCCTTCTCTTCAAGCAACGCTGAATTTCTAGGCAAGGGGAGAATTTCCTTCTAATGCAAGCAAAATGGTCAAGAGAAAATCCATTTCAGTTCATGGCCCACATAGCAGAATTTCTGAGACATATTCACCATCCTTGAATCCTCATGCAAAATCGTGCGTTTTTTTTTTTGTCAAGCCACACTGAGTTCTGGGATTTGGGAGAATTTCCTTCTCACACAAACACAATGCCTGAAACAAGTTCTCTTTCAGGTCATTGCCCAACTGGCAGAATTTCTGAGACCTTTTAACCATCCTTGAATCCTTCAATCAAAATCGTGAGTTTTTTTTTTTGTGAAGCCACTCTGAATTCCAAGGCAAGAGAAGATTTTCCTTCTCATGCAAGCCAAATGCCCGAAAGAAAATCTGTTTCAGCTCAAGGCCCAAGGGGCGGAATTTTTGAGACATATTGACCATTCATGAATCCTCATGCAAAACTGAGTTTTTTTTGTCAAGCCACACTGAATTCTGAGGCACGGGATGATTTTCCATCTCATGCTAGTGAAATGGATGAAAGAAAATCGGTTTCAGTTCATGGCCCAAATGGCAGAATCTTTAAGACCTTCTCCCTATTCTTGACTCCTCAATCAAAATCGTGAGTTTTTTTTCGTCAAGCCACGCTGAATTATGAGGTGACGCGAGATTTTTCTTCTCATGCATGCAAAATGGCGGAGCGAAAATCTATTTCAGTTTTGTGTCCAAATGACAGAATTTCTCAGACCTATTCACCACCATTCTTGAATCCTCATGCAAAATTTTGAGTTTTTCCTTTTTGTGAAGCCACGCTGAATTCCAATATCTAGGGGGAATTTCCTTCTCAAGCTGGCCCGAAACAAAATCTCTTTTCAATTCATGACCTAAATGGCAGAATTTCTGAGACCTATTCACCATTCTTGAGTCATGCAAAATTGTGAATCCTTTTCCTCAAGCGATGCTGAATTTCTAGGCAAGGGGAGAATTTCCTTCTCATGCAAGTAAAATGGCCGAGAGAAAATCTATTTCAGTTCATGGCCTGCATGGCAGAGTTTTTGAGACATATCCACTATCCTTGAATCCTCATGCAAAATCGTGCGTTTTTTTTTTGTCAAGCCATGCTGAGTTCCGAGATTTGGGAGAATTTCGTTATCACACAAACACAATGCCTGAAACAAGTTCTCTTTCAGTTCATGGACCAACTGGCAGAATTTCTGAGACCTTTTAAACCTTCCTTGAATCCTCAATCAAAATCATGAGTTTTTTTCTTGCGAAGCCATGCTAAATTCCAAGGAGAGAGAAGATTTTCCTTCTCATACAAGCGAAATGGCTGAAGGAAAATCTGTTTTAGCTCGAGGCCCAAGTGGCGGAATTTCTGAGACATATTCACCATTCGTGAATCCTCGTGCCAAATCGTGAGTTTTTTCTGTCAAGCCCCACTGAATTCCAAGGCACAGGATGATTTTCCGTTTCATGCAAGCGAAATGGCTGAAAGAAAATCTGTTTCAGTTTATGGCCGAAAATGGCGAAATCTCTAAGACCTTCTCCCCATTCTTGACTCCTAAATCAAAATCATGAGTTTTTTTTTTTTCTTTTTTTGGTCAAGCCACGCTGAATTCTGAGACGACGGGAGATTTTTCTTCTCATGCAAGCAAAATGGCTGAGCCAAAATCTATTTCAATTCTTGGCCCAAATGACAAAATTTGTGAGACCTATTCACCGCCATTCTTGAATCCTCATGCAAAATTGTGAGTTTTTTTTTGGTGAAGACACGCTGAATTCTGATATCTGGGGGGAATTTCCTTCTCAAGCTGCGTCGAAACAAAATCTCTTTTCAGTTCATGACACAAATGGCGGAATTTCTTAGACCTATTCACCATTCTTGAGTCATCATGCAAAATCGTGAATCCTTTTTGTCAACCGATGCTGAATTTCTAGGCAACGGGAGAATTTCCTTCTCACACAAGCAAAACGGCCAAGAGAAAATCTATTTCAGTTCATGGCTCGCATGGCAGAATTTCTAAGACATATTCACTATCCTTGAATACTCACGCAAAGTCATGCGTTTTTTTTTTTGGTGAAACCATGCTGAGTTTTGAGATCAGGGAGAATTTTGTTCTCACACATACACAATGCCTGAAACAAGTTCTCTTTCAGTTCATGGCCTAACTGGCAGAATTTGAGACCTTTTAACTATCCTTGAATCCTCCATCAAAATCGTGAGTTTTTTTTTTTTGTGAAGCCGCTCTAAATTGCAAGGCGAGAGAAGATTTTCCTTCTCATGCAAGCCAAATGGCTGAAAGAAAATTTGTTTCAGCTCGAGGCCCACGTGGCGGAATTTCTGAGACATATTCACGATTCCTGAATCATCGTGCAAAATCGTGAATTTTTTTCCTCAAGCCACACTGAATTCCGAGTGATCTCTTGTCGTTCAAAGGTCAAATTTAATACTCTAGATTAGGAAGGAGATGAGTCAACTAGAGGTCAGTCTCAAGGAGCCTTAATGTCTTCTAGAATTAAACTAATTAGAAGTTACAAATTAAATTGACAGAGAAGGAGGTAGCTTCTGGAATTAGTTTCTATCATGAATTGTTATTTATGAAAACTGATTTTCAAAAGGAATGAGAGAAGAACAAGATGCAAAAAAGAGTTTGAAAGAGATATCAATGAAGTGAATTCCCTTGGTTTGTGATTTCACCTTCCTTGCAACCTAAAATCATATTTCTATTTCTCTTAGGCAATTCATCAAACAGTAGGTTTGTAATCAACTCTAATGATGTAATTAGATAATTTCTAGGATGAAGATTAACCAATTCACCTCAGATTTATCACAACAACTAAGTTCCAGACTTAACCAAATCAGAAATTGAATTGAAGCTACTTAGAAACAGGAAATTATAAGCTCTAAACACATCACAATAGAAATCTCATTATTTAGTTGATCAAAATGTGGTTCATCAAATTCCCCCACATTAGCACTTTGCACTCCTAGGCAAATATGATCAAATAGTTCCTGAAATCTCATTAACAACCAGCTATAAATTGAAATAGTATCCAATTATGATTCTTCATCTCAACCCAGTACTCAAGAGAAAAACCAGCATAATAAGGAATCAAATTGTCAATAAAAAGACTAGGAAATGATCTTAATTCAGCAAATTGCACAAGGAAAAGTGGAAGTATTCTCTCGGCAAGTGTTTCGCTCTCCTCACCATTCCATTACAGGGTCATTTCACTCTTCACTCTTAGCCTAGGCCCTACCATAAGCTTGACAAAACTCTAATATCTCCACCACTGAGTAGCATGAGGTAATTTTGCATCAAGAGGACTTTCCTTAAGGTTGTAATGTTGGAAAGGCTAAAGGATGGAATCTGTCCACTTGAGCAAGAATGCATGCATGCTGAAAACAAGACAAAGAATACAAACAACTCACAAATGAACTCTTCAACGCAGGCCATGAATGCAAATGCTAATGTATAGCTCTTATTGGAATACTGGAGTTATGAGATACTAGCTATAATCTTGTTTATAATTCTTTGCTTAGGCTTTTCGAAAAACTTTTTTTTTCTCATTTCTTTTTTTCTGCTGCTTATTGGCTCTTTTTTTTTGTACATCCTTTTTTTCAATTCGTTTTTTTCCTTCAACTGCCTTTTTCTTTCTTCTCTTTCTTTTCCATTTTTTTCTTCTTGTTTTTTTTTAATTTTCACAGCTAGCATCCTGGGATAGAATTAAACAAAGGCAATACAAAATAGATCCTAACAATGAAAAAGCATGAAATGATCAAATGCAATACAATCTTACTTAAGTTGGCCAGTATGATATGAAAAGAATCATGAATGGCTCAATGGGGTTAAGCAAAAGTCAGTATCAATGGTTTGTGTTTGGAGTAATCTGGGTTTAGAATAGAATGCCTCTTTCATATGCAATTTCCCAAAGCAAAAATGTGGCCTCAATTAAGAGCTAGGTCAAGTTCTAGAGGGTCCTAGTACTAAGGAGATTGCACTCATAATAAAAGGAATTTAGGCTCAAACAAGACCTTCCAACATGGGTTATTCTTCCCAAATCCAATGCAACAGCTGAATAAAATCAATTCTAACCTTAATACAGCATTTCTCAACCTCAAATGCTGAATCTTCCCAAGAATAATTAGGTTTCAATGTATTCCCAGATTTCTAAATGTTCAAGTCAGAAAGTTATCAACATGATTTCAGAAAATCAAGCTTCTACCAAAGAGATTTTTGGAGTAGCAAAGGTTTAGTGCAGCACAACTGATCTAGAAAGTGGATTATGCATAGACACTCAAAGCAAGGGACATGAGTGCTAAGTCATATCAGCAGTGCATAATCTAAAACCAAGAATTTCAAAATCATCAAGATATTATCCTTCCCCCACACTTAAATTCAGTATTGTCCTCAATACAGTCTAGAGCACATGAAAAGTCCAGAGTAAAAACATCAAAACAAAAAAAAAAGAAGGAAAACAAGTAAAACACCATTTTTTTAAAAAAAAAACTACTGAAATGACCTCTTCCCCCCACACTTATTCTCAAATCATTTAAGCATAAAATATCACCAGCAAGACACAAAAATGAAAAGAAAGCAATAGGGAAAAGAGGCAACCGGATATTCAAGGTGGCTGGGAGTTTTCATGATAGAGCTTAAGCAAATGTCCATTGACCTTCAATGTGCGACCATTTTGCTCATCTAGAAGTTCCAACATACCAAAATCATGCACTTTGGTAACTGTATATGGACCATCCCATCTTGTATTGAGCTTCCCTTGTTTAAACTTGAATCTGGCCTTGAATAAGAGAACATGATCACCCTACTTAAAATGTTTCCTTAAGATGCCTTTATCATGAATGAGCTTTGTCTTTTCCTTATACATCCTTGAATTCTCATATGCCTCAAGTCTGATTTCTTGTAACTCTTGTATCTGCATTTTTCTTTCAATTACAGTAGCTTCCATGTCCATATTGCAGATTTTTACAGCCCAATAAGCTTTATGTTCAAGTTCTACAGGTAAGTGGCATGCTTTTCCATATACTAGCCTATAAGAAGACATCCCAATTGGGGTCTTGAAAGCTGTCCTATATGCCCATAAAGCTTCTTCTAATTTAACACTCCAATCCCTCCTTATTGGTCTCACTATCTTTTCAAGAATCTGTTTAATTTCCCTATTTGAAATTTATGTTTGGCCATTAGTTTGAGGGTGATAAGCTGTGGACATCTTGTGAGTTACTCCATATTTAGCAAAAAGACCATCCAACAACCTATTACAAAAGTGTGTACCTCTATCACTAACCATAGCTCTAGGAATACCAAATCTGGAAAATATATGAGACTTAATGAACTTGGCAACAGTGGCTGCATCATCCTTTTTTGTTGGTATTGCCTCCACCCATCTTGAAACATAATCCACAGCTAATAGTATATAATGATAACCAAAAGATAGAGGGAATGGCCCTATAAAATCTATCCCCCACACATCAAATATTTCACAGAAAAGCATTGGGACTCGGGGCATCTCATGTCTTTTACTATTTCCACCAAAACGCTGGCACTTATCACACACTTTGCAATAATTGTAGGCATCTTTAAAGAGTGTTGGCCAGCAGAACCCTGCTTCCAAAATCTTCCTAGAAGTCTTTTTAGCACTAAAATGTCCACCACATGCCCAAGAGTGACAAGCATCCAAAATTCCAGTGACTTCTTCATTACACATCTCTGTATAATCTGGTCATTACACAGCCTCCAAAGAATAGGTGGATCCCAACAATAGTATTTGGCTTCACTCTTTAATTTTTGGGCCTAAAAGTAAGAAAGGGAAGGTGGAATTAAATCTGTAACAAGGTAACTCACTATGTTAGCATACCAAGGTTCATGTTTAGTCATAGCCATTAACACAGAAGTAGGGAAATCATCACAGATTAAGGAAGAATCAGAAACTCCCTTTGTATCTTCAGGTAGCCTACTCAAATGGTCTGCAACACAGTTTTCAGCACCACTCCTGTCTCGAATTTCCAAATCAAATTCTTGTAGCAATAGAATCCATCTCAATAACCTTGGCTTGCTATCTGTTTTCTTAAAAAGAAATTTCACAGCCGCATGGTTAGTATAAACAATAACATGAGAATTAAGAAGATAAGGTCTAAACTTGTCCAAAGCAAAGACAATTGCAAATCTTTTTCAGTTGTAGTATAATTAATTTGGGCATTGTCCAATGTTTTGGATGCATATGCAATTACCCTGGATAGTTTACCCTCTTTTGACCCAACATTGCACCTACTGCTATATGAGATGCATCACAAGCTAGCTCAAATGGTGAATTCCAATATGGTGCAGTGAGTATCGGCGGTGAGACAAGCATTGCTTTTAAAGTATCAAATGCATGTTTGCAGTCCTCATCAAAGTGAAAGTCAACATCTTTTTGCATGAGTTTAGACAAAGGAGAAGCAATCTTGCTGAAATCTTTAACAAACCTTCTGTAAAAACCACAATGGCCAAGAAAAGATCTTAGTTCCTTTAAAGTCTTAGGACAAGGCAGAAATGAAATGACTTTTATTTTTGCTTTATCTACCTCAATGCCCCTTCTAGAAACTAAATGACCTGGTACTATGCCTTGATCCACCATAAAAGTGACATTTTTCAAAATTTAAAATCAAAATTTTCTCCATGCACTTGGCCAAGACTTTATCAAGACTCTCTAGACAAGCAGAAAAATTATCCCCATACACTGTAAAATCATCCATGAATACCTCCATGGATGAACCTAGGAACTCACTAAATATAGCCATCATAGCCCTCTAAAATGTTCCTGGTGCATTACATAGCCCAAAGGGCATTCTTCTATAAGCAAAAGTTCCATAGGGACAAGTAAAGGTAGTCTTATCTTGATCCTCTGGTGCAATCGGTATTTGGAAATATCCTGAAAATCCATCCAGAAAACAATAATTAGTTCTACCAGATAATCTCTCAATCATTTGATCTACAAAGGGTAATGGAAAATGATCCTTTCGTGTTGCATCATTTAGTCTTCTGTAGTCAACGCACACACGCCATGCATTTTGTATCCTAGTTGGTATCAATTCATTTTTTTTCATTTTTTAATAACAGTAATGCCACTTTTCTTAGGGACCACTTGTACAGGGTTGACCCCATTAACTATCTGAGATGGGGAAAATCAAGGGGTTAAGCCTACGTTGAGGTTGTCTAATTGGTTTCATCCCATCATTTAATAATATTCTGTGAGTACAGATTGAAGGATTAATTCCAGGTATGTCTGCCATAGACCAACCTATTGCCTTTTTATGTTTCTGCAAAACAGCAATTAATTGTTCCTCCTCTGTAACAGTGAGTGACGTAGCTATAATCACTGGTAATTTATTATCTTCAGCAAGATACACATATTTAAGATTGGGGGGTAGGGGTTTAAGTTCTAGTTCAGGGGGTTTCACCACAGAAGGAACCAACTCCTTAAGCTCCAAAGCTCCAACAAAGTGCTGCTGCAAGTCCTCACTTGATTCTGGATTTTGTGTGCTGTAAGAATAGCAACCAGAGGGCAAACAACCAAGATGATAATGTACATTATGCAAGAATTTCATAAATTTAGCATTGAATTCTTGTGTAGATTCTTTATTTCTGAACACTTTTTGAGCTTGATCTTGATTACAAGTAACTTGCCGCAATGATTGAAGTTCTCTCCTATAATGTTCAGCTTCTGCAGAAAACATGGACAAAAATTCATGAATATGCTTTAACATTTGAAAAGGATATGAAGAAAAAAAGTTATCTGCAGTGTTGATTAATGCATCATAAGGAGAATTCTGATGTAAATTATCCAAAATTGAATCGGATTGCAACTTTAATTTCTCAAAACAGTGAGCTGGTGGAATATGGAATTTTTGTTCCTTAGCATAAGCTTGTCCAGTGACCAAATCTCCTTTCTTTTCTTCATCAATATGCATTCTTGATGTTTCCAATGTTGCTATATTGGTACTAGCTCCATCCAATACAGATTTTGCAATATTCTCAGCTTCTGCAAAGTTAGAAAATATACCTTTCCCAAGCCCATTATTAGAGATTTCAGAAACAAAATCATCATCAAAAGAAGAAATATCAAAAGAAAATGTTTGCAATGTGGAAAGTGAGCTATCAACTGAATGAAAGTCAACACTACACACCTCATCATCACAAACAGAAAAATCATTGGGGCAGAAGAAGGAATTCATTATTGGCAAATCTAAATCAAATGTGGTGAGACCATACTTGTTCATGTTAAGAAGGGAAAGTTCACATTTAGCTACAGAGTCTTCTATCAAAGCATCAATGGCACTTACGCTCAACAATGAGTAATCTTCATATAGGTGCTTCATAGCTTCATAAACATTAAAACTGATCATGTGATCACCCACTTCCATCGTGATACAACCATCTTTCATACTAATCACTGTGTTGGCAGTTTGAAGGAATGGTCTCCCTAAGATCAATGGTCCCTCAATGGTTGATTCATGGGACATATCCAAGACATAGAAATCTGCTGGAAAAATCAAGTCCTTAACCTTGACCAGAATATCTTCCAATAGCCCATGAGGTCTTCTAATGCTTCTATCGGCCAACTGAATGATCATACTAGTGTCTTTTATTGAATTAATACCCAAAGATGTATAGATAGACAATGGCATAACATTTATAGCAGCACCCAAATCTAGGAGGGCACTAGCTATATTCAATTTACCAATAGTGCATGGAATTGTAAATGATCCTGGATCAGAACACTTCACTAGTAAATGTGGCTTAAAAAGTGCTGAAACACTTGAGCCTATTTGAACCAATTCATTGGGTTTGCATTTTCTCTTGTTAGTACATAGCTCCTTCAAAAATCTCACATACTTAGGCATACTTTTCAGGAAATCCAATAAGGGTACATTAACTTCCAGCTCGCTAAATAGATTCAAAGCATCTTTCTCAACTTGTTCATCAGACAATTTCCTACTAAGAAGAAATGATTTAGGAAAAGGAAGCTCTGAAATCTTTACCTCACTCTTACCCTTCTTTGATTGCTTCTGAACTTCTAGAAGTTCCTCATTTTGTTGACCAAAAGGCGTTGGGACTGCTTTGGATACTTCTTGCTGTAACTCCTTAATTCCAGAATACTGAGGGTTTACAGCCCAGGTTGCATCATCATCATGTGTGGAAATTGATTATTTCTCTTTTTTCCTTATTGACAATAATTTCTTCTCACATTTGCTTTCAGATTGAACTTGAGGGGTCACCACAGAATCATCATTTTGCTGCATATTATCATATTCTTTAAGTTGTTCATCATTCTCATCCAAAGTAAAACTGACTTGTTTTCCAACTTGTCTTCCACTCCTAAAAGAAATGGCATTCAATGACTTTGGATTAATCACTGTATTTGAAGGTAGAGACCCTCCACTTCTTGCTTACAGATCGTTAAGTGTATTAGACATTTGAGTGACAAAATTATTCAGATTAGCAGACTTAGTTTCCCACTGCTCAATCTTCTACTCCAATGCACTCATCCTAGAATTGGTCAAAGAATTGCTGTTGGCTATCTCAGATTTCATTTCCTTCATACATTGAATCAATTCAGCCATACCATTGTCATTTTTGGAGGAGGATGCACCTTGATGCTGTACTAAAGTTTTGGTGTGTTTAGAATTCACTCTGTTGTCCTGAAACTTGTTTTGCATTGTTAGAGGTTTTTCTGATCCTTCCCTCCACCTAAAATTTTGATGATCCCTCCATCCCTCATTATAGGTGTTAGAATAAGGATTTCTTTGTGAAAATTGCCCTGATCTTCCTTGATGAACAGCAGAAAATTCTTCAATATGAGAGGGACAATTTTCGCTTGTATGCATGGTGATGCACAAAAATCACATGAAGGGGCCACTAATGCTTGGGAAGTGCCAACTGAATTGTAAGGCTTCGAATACCTCTCTTGTTCCAATCTCTCCATTCTTTTATCCATTCTATCTGTAAGTGCCAGCAGTTGTGCAAACAAGTCTTGAGAATGATGAGAAGACATCTCCTTGACTCCTTGTGTTTCTCTTGTATGAAACTGTTGAGTATTTTTGGCCATTCTTTCTAAGAGTTCCCAAGCATTTTTAGGAGTAAGCTCCAAAATGGACCCATTAGCAGCTGCATCAATTATGCTTTTGGTTGAGGACAACATCCCTTCATAGAAATATTGCACTAAGCTAGATTTGGTGCACTGATGGTTAGGACAGTGGTTAATCAAGGTCAAAAAATGTGTCCAGTGCTCATACAGAGTTTCTTGCTCTCTGAGTCACACCATATATTGCTTTCTTCAATTTTCAGGTCCTAGATCCAGGGAAGTATTTGTCCAGAAAAGACTTCCGTAATTGCTCCCATGTGAGAGTTGAAAAATGTTAAGGAAGTACGTGCAACCACTCCCTTGCATTTCCTTCCAATGTAAAGTGAAAAACCCTCTTTAGAACATCTTCAAGAGCTGCTCCAAGTGGCTTCATTGCTGAACAGACCAAATACATAGTATCCAAGTGCTAACAGGGTTCATCACCTGCAAGTCCATAGAATTTTGGTAAGGAACTAATAAAAGCACCTTTGATTTCAACGTTAATATCGTGAACATAAAATCCTCTTGGTGGACAATTAATGATAGAATTATTAATTTCCTTTATGCTTGATATGAGAAGGGAAACGAATGGACCAGCTAGAATC